CACGGACTTTTTAAACCTGTTGATTAACATTTTAAAACATATGTTGTCTATTTACATGTATATTATATAATATTACTTCCTTGAAAACTTAGACAAATTTTGTATTCAATTTCGAGTTTCCTGGAACACTGAACAAGGTCAGATTCGGTTATTGCATTAACAACTAAAAGTCTTAATTACTAGATATCATGTAAATATATCCACTGAGCTTGATGTTACACGAGTTCATATCCTAACAGATAGTCCATATGAACATTTGTTTGTACCAATACGTATAAGGAGTGAGACAAACTTGACAATTGTTTTGTTATTTTTATTTTAGTTACAAAGCACTACCTCTAATTTGTTCACAATAAGCAAATATTGCATTTTGTAGCTAACATGGAGTTCCGAGCGTGTTATCAATATTTTGTGATAAAAACCTTTTTCATAGTATCAGCATACGTTATCATATTATTTTGCCTTTTGTTATATTACTTCGAGGAAAATCAGCTTACTCGTCCAACCATCCAATTAATTTTTAAGAATTAAAAGTGGTTTTAAATCAATCTATTGATGATAAAGCGACTTTACTAACTTCCAAGTTTTACAAATGTTTATCAGGAGAGATACAGGGCTTTGAAAATGAGGAGTACCTGCCCCTTACTTATGTTACCTTGAAGGCGCCATGCTTGATTATCATGTCAAACACTTGACATAACCAGACAGTATTACACTAAATACACCATACTCATTGTAACTGTTTTGAAATCTAGCGCCGAAATAACCATATTTGTAAAACTAAAACTGAAATTTTCGTTTTATTTAAAAAAAAAATGATTACATTTGAATTTTAAAATTTTATTCCACTCACTGAATGAAATTGCTACAAATAGATTTGACATATATGTGTCATTTATCCCTGGACAAGAGTAGATACATATTAAAATCAAAATGAAAAGCTAAATAACTTTCAATGCCTCCATATTTCTTAAATCATTTATTCAAACCAACAATAAAAATTGTTCTTCAGATATAGTCACAAAATATTCGAGTTAACAGTAGAGGCCCAGTTTTAATTCACGTTTTCTGAAAAAAAAAATCTGAAATCGGTTTAAAGCCCTGAGGCTCAGTTACATCAAACTCAGTGAGCTTTGTCATACTTTCAGGTATAATTCAAACTTAGATATAATGCATTATCAATGCATAAGTTGATATCAATTTACTCAGACTTGAATAACTCTAACAGATACACAATATGAATTCAGTATCATTGTGGTGAATTCTTCCTTGCTAAAGTTTCCGTAAAAAGTAGCGGCTGTTTGCACAGGTAAGCTGATGAAGGCCCATACAGAAAGATCTAGGCTAAAAGGACTTTGTGTAATTTTGTGTTATCTCACCACGTGTTTATTTAAAAAAAAACACACACACCATGTAATCACTGAAGCTTTTGAATGAAATTCTAGCAAACTGGTATGTAATTGACACATTTTATACTTTGTATTGGTACATCTGTACGTAAAAGTCACGTACAAAATATTTAATTTATAGAATACGCAATGTACCATCGAAACAAAAGTTATTTAATATTTGTTAACTGTTGTATTCAATAGCTCAAATTAATTGTTTTATTATTATTATATGTTTTGATATCATTATTTCTTACTTAAGATTTTTTCATCGTAAAACAAATATCAAATATTAAATAGACCTGCTTAAGTGATATCTATCAGTCTAAAGACAATTAAAACAATGAACACTTTATAGCATATTACCTTTCACATTTCAACATTGCGAGAAAGAAAATCAACAGGAGGAGATAGATTTAATTTTGTGGTCAAAATGGATGAAACTGATAAAATATATGTATGTAATTAACACATCATGCCATCATGAGATTATGTATGGAATTTAACTTACTTTTTTCTCGACTGTGAATCCTTTAAAACTCAACTTAGCGATGATTGTCATTCACATGAAACGGTAAACATTTTATAAAGAGCATGGTTTTCTCATTTTTCAATGACGTTTGTGGGTTTTCTGCTTCTGTTTCTCTCATCTCTTCTTAATCATACTATAATACAGATTGCGATGGCGTTTTCTTCTTGTCTTGATGTGAAACACGTGATCTATTTGTGTCTCGGCCTCACAAACTATTTCTATTTCTGTCTTGAGTTGTACCTGGTTAACAGTAAATAATGTAAAGCATTTTTTCATTTTAATTCCAAAGATATATCACTAATATAAGATATCACAAATGTTAGAGGATTAACACCATCTTAATGTATACATCTTGATTCCAATTTCTTGGGAACACTTTAATTAAATAGCAATATCAAACAAGGCATTCTTAAACCTTAATTGAAAAACACAGACGACTCGCCAAAATACTTGTTCAGTGTGCGTTTGATTTTCTTAAATAGTTCGGAGTAGGGGAATACGTAATTGTCAGCAAATTGAAAATTCAAAAATTGCTGTTGTTTGCTGTTTGTTGTTGAACATGTTTTCCTGTTCAGACAAAATTGCACGGGATGAAGTTCTCACCGTCAGTGCTTGGACTGTTTTCCAAATGGTGGTACACATACTGGAATGAATATTCAATGTTTTAAACATTTGTTTGTCCTTTTCAAAGTCAAAAGCTACAAAAATAGAAAATAACACTTCATAATACAAAATCAGCACAGTTTGATATTTTATAAGAAATTTAACGGTGCCGCTGAAATGTAGGAAGATAAAAAGAAAATTCAAAAACTTAATCAATATTTTAAAATATATTAATTAATATTCGACATTTCAAAAGTTGGGGAAAAAAACAATATCATCAGATTAAGAATGTTTTAAAATATTAATAACAATTATTAAAAATGTTTACTGGAATACCACTTCAAACGCAAACAAAGAATGAAAATTCCTTAATCAATTAGAAGGAGAAAAATCGCCAAATTCTGTAATAATACAGAATTCCAATTAAGTTATGGTTATTTACACATGAAATAGACAATTTCGTTTCGTTAGTAAAACCTGCAATGAATATCGCTGACACGAGAAAAATATATACAGTTATTACATCTAATGTGACGTTGATCTGATAGTACTTTGTCAACTGTTTACTTTACGATGGCGTTGCGTGACTTTACATTTGACTACGCGACAGTGAATTCAGATCTAATACCAATACAGCAAATGTTACATATAATCAAGGCCAAAACAAGTTGATTTCTTGTGAATTTGTTTTTCTATTTGTATGTTCTGACAACGATTTTTTATGAGTAATTGCCCAGTTAATTACTATGAAATCAATAAGAAACTCGAGTATTTGAACATTACGTTAGATTGTTTTCGTAACAATTAAATTGTGATAAAATCACAGACATAGGTTGATTGCTAACATACATAATGATTGTATCATGAAAGAATCATCACTGTAGTTTTTCATAATTGCAATAAAAACACTTTACATATTAATTACGGGGAATCTCTAATTTACTGCTGTACATGTAACATGTTTTTCTGAATATTTTAGTGGCCCAGCTCAAGTATAGTTTAACATAAACACTTTCTACATTTATGTTTCATATTTATGTAAATCAAATTATATGTGTTCGATAACTTATATAACATGTCGCAACAACATGTATAACACTGCGGTGAACGTGAGGAGCTTCAGTTTGAAATTATCTTTATTAATTCATAATCGTACAGAAATATCGATGTTGTAGTTGTGTTATTTAAGCCTGTATAACATTATTGACTGCATTTCTGTAGTAGTATATCTATGAAGGCTGTATGTGCTATTTAAGGCTAAAGACGTTGTATTAGTACCGCATCAAGTACCTCGTGACACACATGATGACCGACAATTCATTGTTCTGTTTTGTAATGGACCAATCGGATCGATAGCATAACCTAATCCTTGTTAAAGGCTGTAACTAACCGCTGACCTGTTTATGAAACTAACCCTCATGCGATATAGAGATATGGGATATCTAACATTAATATTAAAATGCACTCGGCGGAATAGGAGACATGGGAAAATACGGTTTGTATTTTACCCACTATCATTTATTTGTCAACTAGACATCTCGTGGGGATAATCAATATCTGTCAGCTCTTAGTCATGACAATTTCGCCCATGTCTTTGCATAACAACCTTGGATTCCACTGTGGTTGTCACGGACACAAGGTATTTGCTTGCTTTACCTTGTTTGTATTGAACAGCCAAACCACACTTAAGTATATATTTTTTTCTAATTAGACTTGTATTTCTGTTTTAAAGTTGAATAGTTTAATCGAAAGAATTGTTAGCTTTTGTTTGCTTTTCATAAATCTTATCAGCGGTGTTGATATATTTTTGATGATTTCAAATTTTAGGACGTATGTGCAATAGTTAATAGGTTCCAAACATTAACATATACAAATAAAACATTTTAAAAGTACACACAAACCGGACATTGCTTCATTATTTAAGTTATGTATGGAAGCATACGATTAGTGTGCCTCTCATGTTTGAATGTCCTCAAACTTTCCCTAGGTTTCAACACTTTAGGTCCCTTGGGATTAGCGACGTTTATACAAGGACACAACACCTGCATAATGAACTATAATTTATCCTTCGGCTGAACTCTGTATTGTCCTCGTTTTCACACTCCTTCAGCCGATTTGTTTTCTATAGTTTCCTTCTGGATCACTGTAGAAATAAGAGAAGGCGAGTTTAGTTAATTAGCCGTGATGACCCAAATGTATACTGACAATGACTATTTCCTTGTTTGTCTTGTCAAGACCCTCCATTTGCTGGGAGGATTGAGTAGTCTCGTCTCACTATTGATAGTGTTATGCTAATGACCATTCACGATCTCTGACACTATGCAAGTTGCATACACTTTGTAAATTAATCTGATAAATATTGACAGATTTTGGATAAGGATTCTGGTTCGAACTTTGTTATTTTGTTTAAGTTTTTTCGTTTATTTATTTTTACTTTTTGGGACCTGAAAATTATTTTCTTTTTTTACGTGTTACAGAAAATGAGTTCTGAGTCGAATAGCTCTGGAGATAACAGCATCGCCATGATTAAACGCGGAGAGGAAGATGAGGGGAATGACAAAAGAGGGGGATGGAAAGGACGATTAGACTTCATTCTCACCTGTATAGGGTACGCTGTCGGACTTGGCAACATATGGAGGTTCCCCTATCTCTGTTACAAGAGTGGAGGAGGTAGGTAGACAAGATAACTGGCACAGTACGTGACTTGGCGAGAAAAGCTGATTGTAACTCCACTTAAAGCATACGTAATATAAGAATATCTGCTGAACACCTACTTTAAATGATAATTAATAAATATGGCTAAACAATAGCCTTCTTGAGTTTGGGGATGTCAGGATTAAAAGGAAACGTGTATTTTATTTTTAGTAAAACACGTGTACACGTTGTTTCAGATTATTTAATTGTTGGCAACTCGTATACTGGGTGTATTAGCGTCATACAGTACCTAACATCAAGTCCTGCACATTAAATGTTTTAAGCTTCAAGACAAAACAATACACTGCAAACAGACGCATGCAGATCAGCTTGATTTTGTCAATGATGAAAGGCACACACTTTTCTAGGTTAAACTGACGTTTTCAGTGAAGCATCAATTAGACAATTTTTCCAGATTTCCCGTTTCTACATGTACAATGTAATGTGAGAATTTTACCAGCAATTGAAAACTTATGTTGGTTGTGATACTTAAACCATTATCTGTTTTCAAATTTAGAAAAAAAAAACGTTTTTATCAAAGATTGTCAAGTGTATTACATATTAGGGACATAATATAAAGGATCGAGTTATTCATTATGAAAAAATATATAAAGAATTATTTGTCAAGTAAATATTGAAACAAAGAAGCAAATTGATGTTTTAAGTTGTAGTATATTTCTTGATAACTGTAGGAGAATGCAGTTTAACTCTCTTTTCTGGTCTATACTGTATGTACTTCTTAATTTCGAAGGTGCTATTCATTTGTGTGTTCTTTGTACAATTTGTTAAACTTGTATTGTTATATTTCCAGGTGCTTTCTTCATTCCTTATTTCATATTTTTGCTGTTATGTGGGTATCCGCTGTTCTTTTTGGAGGCTAGTTATGGTCAGTTTAGCAGTCTTAGTCCTATAACTACGTGGAGAATGAGTCCACTTTTTAAAGGTAAGCCGTGTGTTTATGTTGCAAAGCTCTAGATCAAATGAAAATACACTTGAATGATCTTGCGTATCGAGAAAGGCTTCCATCGAAGCTTATGCAAGAGTTTGAATAATTGGGAGAGTAAATACCCATACATTCTTACAACAATAACACAGATAAATACATTATTGTGATTTCTTTTAGGTGTTGGTGTTGGCATGGTGATGGTATCCGGGCTGGTTTGTGTTTATTACAATGTCATTGTCGCCTGGACGCTCTACTACCTCTTTATGTCATTTCGGGCTGTGTTGCCATGGAGTCAATGCGGTAATGACTGGAACACAGAAAACTGCGTGGATGGATCTGAAAGGATTGTGACAAACAGCACACAGAGCAACTATACGACATTAAATAGCACTAACATCATGTCCAACATTTCACAATATGTCATTTCTGCAAACGGCTCAATTACACACCTTTCTGCAAAGACTAGTCCAAGCGAGGAATATTGGGAGTAAGCATATTAATAATTTACACATATTTCAATTCAGCAGACGATGTATCACTTTCATCGTCAAATAATTGGGAAAATCTAATCTGATTTCTTTTTTAGTTTATTCGCTAAACAACAGTTTTTTGTTCATATGTTTTTTTCTATATAGATGTTGATACTCTTCGAAAGTTTAATTTTCTTTTATTTACAGTATCACGTGTCAATATATCTTACCCATTAGATCTATTCCCTACCTATCCAAAAGCAAAATATTGCCCAAAATTTCGCAACTTTTCAGTTTTCACTGATGCTAATAACAAGTTTTTAAGCAATTTATTTAAGATAATTGCATATGTATGCAAACATGTACCATCCGCATCACTTGCTTATTTTATGTTCAGTGTAAGAAAAGAATTTAATTGAATAGAACTGGTTATTTAAAGGCAGTTATGATAAAATACTTGTTTTATCTTTAACAGAAATCATGTCCTTGAACTATCTGGAGGAATTGAGGAGGCGGGAATTATCAGATGGCCACTTTTGCTGTGTCTCATATTGGCTTGGTTCTTTGTCTTCCTGTGTCTGTTTAAAGGCGTGAAAGTATTGGGCAAGGTGGGTGAAAAATACTCATATAATAATGGGATAATTATTTACTCTCAAAACATAAAACAGAAAAACGTTTTTTAAGGTGGTAAAGGTATTTGACAAGGTGGGTGAACATATCTATATCAAAATTGGAAAGTTATTTACTTAGTGGAAGATAATAGAAAACGTTTAACTCCGAAACCTTAAGACAGAAAAACTTTTATAACGCCGTGGTAAAGAGGATGGAAACTATGTCGTGACTGGAGAGTGATTTACTTACATGAAGAAAATAAAAGTAATATTTGAGCTAAAACTCAAAAACGTAAATGCAAATACATCAATAGTTTGTTTGAATCAGTAAGAGATATCGCATAAATGTACGTATCAACATATTACACTATACTGGAATGTGTAAAATTAAGTTACCATGGTAACCGAAGGTCTCCATTCTAACATAAAAAGTGATTACTTTTCGAAATCTGAAGCATGAGATGTTGACCGTCGAACGTGCACCAGATTGGCTCTTTACGATCGATTTTCCCGAAACATCCATGTAACATCTGCAGTTCACAGGAAAACTACTAAGTCCCTGTACGCCACATAACAAATCTGCTATGATTCACCTTTCAGCTATGACCCTCAGCTGCTTTGTGAGGAAAAACTAAGCGGTCTGTCACTCAATCGCATTCACAGAAGCACTTATGTTTTATCAATATTCGTATTTAGTTATGTAGCGATTGCATGTAACAAAAATGATCTTGCTTTGATAACGTGTGTATATAATATTTACAGAGTGCTAATTTGGATAGAGGTAAATACGATTACGTATTGATGTCATAAAAATTATTCTACATCTAAATAAATATATATTCATTCATTCCGAGATATTTTTTCTTTCCTTTTTTTGTTTGTGTCTGTTTTTTTTATCTCTTACATTTCTTCACACACAGGTGATGCATTTTGCCGCTCCCTTTCCATACCTAGTTTTATTAGTTCTTCTTATCCGAGGGGTGACCTTACCGGGTGCTTTGGAAGGCATCAAATTCTATGTTCTTCCTAAATGGGAAAAACTAGGAGAGTTCCAGGTAATAATAATATTTAAAGTTTCAAAATACCTTAATATACATAAAAATTGAAATATATGTAATCCCTTATTTTGCACATAAATCTTTTTTTAAATGTGAAAATGTGAGAATAATTCATATACATGTAATTTGCTGCCACTGGTCACGTTTCTTACTGGAAAGGATTACATATGAATTGCATTATTCTACCAAGCTTCTATAGGAGGTACCAATCACTGAGAGTTAACAGTAGTAGTGTCAAACATACAGGCTCTTTTCATGCTGTAAGCAAAATCTAGAAAAAAAAAGAAAATACTATTGTCACTCCGGATGTGCAATCCTTACATCATATATCCTTATGGTACACATCTGTGTTTCACTTGTGTATAAGCACGTGATCTTGTAAAATAACCAAAATCACATCATCAGGACTATCGTCTTAACAGATGGATGACTGCACCTGGTGGATATCTTTACGTTGAATTTGTGACTTAAAAGATTCCTTATGCTAACTTGCATCAATCAAATCAGGCATACCTTGTTTTTCTTTATGCAAACTGACATTTGATTCGCGCTATCGTTTAGGTTTACATAATAGGTACATTTATCAACAGTCGCCAGCGTAGCTTGGTTTCTCGGTTTATTTATAGAGTAGTCTAATCCACTAATCTAGACAAGAGTGTACCAACACACACAGGATGTTCGATATGTGGGAATACACTGATAAATGGCTCTACACACTAGGAAATATTGTTGAGAGCCCGTATGATCAAACTTGTTGCTTGGCGACTGGCTTAACACTTAACTTTCAGAATTAGTTTTGATTTTCAATAAATGTTTACCTACATTATCATTAGTGCGTGTACGCATTACATAAGAAATAAAGACTTAAATGTGGCTATTATGTTATGTAATTGTTCAATTCCTATGTAATATATACCTGGCCAAAATGTATCCTGAAGTAAAGTTATACACATTTTCAATGAAATACTGATATGGGTGTTAGCATTACTATTTGGTCAATGACAACCTGGAAGGCAATTATTCTTTATGCGATGACTCCGACTGACACCGAATCGTAATACAGCGTCAACAAATCCCGATTTCTAAAATTATGTAAAAAAAAAAAAAAAAAAACAATTCATTATTGCGTTTTTTGATTGTTTACAACTACATTAGAATACAGATGACCTATGTATCACGTTTGGATAAGATATGTGTAAGTTACCCTCCTACATTCTAGATTATATCAATTCAAAGGAGATATTAAATTATATTGAAAAGTCAACAGTATTTTTAACATGCTACTTGTGCAGTGTAATACAATATTTTGTTTGCATGCATTAACTTTCACGGAAATGAAATCTCGACAAGAGCTATTACAATCAATATTTTGTCATTACTATACCAAATCACGCTTTGGGAAATTTGATTTTAATCGCATGTTGTATTTCCTTTGGCCATGTGTTCGTCAATTATGTATTGTTTTTAATGTTGACAAGTGAAGCTGTCGTACCACAGCTGTATTTTTATTTCGAGTTTCGTCCTGTTATCAGGTATGGGGAGATGCTGCCTTGCAGATTTTTTACTCTGTCGGTATGGGATGGGGAGGTATTGTAACTATGGCCAGCTACAATAAATTCACCAATAACATTTACAGGTATGTATAATCACGTTGACATAATTGCTTGAACAGACGTCTAATTTTGTTTTGTATATCCACATGATATCTAAAATTTTGATAGTAATAGGCCCAAATACCTAAACATCAACGCCACTTTTTAATACTTAATCAGGTTTATGTCAAACTTTTTTCACAACACAAACATGTCGACATTGCAAAATTTCTTCTCAAAATGTTTAATTGGACATTGTTGTAAAAAAAGTATTTATATTAACAAGTTATTGTAGATTTTCGTCTAAACAAAATGAAATGGAATATCTGACAAACAAATATCAGATATATTCCACAATGAGTCTGTTTTATGTTTTGCCGTAGAATGTCAATATGCCATCATCTTCTGTTTTATAGGGACGCTTTGATTGTGCCAATCATTAATTGTGGAACTTCAATATTTGCTGGTTTTGTCATTTTCTCTGTTCTTGGGTTTATGGCCCATCAGACTGGCTCATCAATTGAAGACGTAGTCAGCCAGGGTAGGTGCATTATGTAAAGTGTTACCAAATATATAAAATGTAGTACTATATCACACAATAAAAATGAGAAAAGGATGAATAAAAGACCTTTTCGGGGTATGAAATCAAAGGTAACAAGTAGAAAGCTCTTCCGTCGTCTGAAAAAAATATATAAATATAGTTTTAATGATTTTATACTATCAAAACATATTTTTAGAAAAGAAAAGAAAAACAAAAAGCAAAAGCAAACAAAAAAAAAAAAAAACAAAAAAAACAAAAGAAAAAAAAAAAAACAAAAACAGAAAAAATAAAATAAAAATGGGCTTTGCCAGGATGCTTAAAAGCGGTGATTAGTAATCGATATAAGGTGTAGATGCCATTTGTTAGTTTGGTATATTAAAAGGTGTCCTTTATCACAAAATAAACACGATATGGTTTTGCATTAGATATGTTAATGCATGTTTTCTTGTAGGGAATATATTTCCGTTACCACTGATATCCTTTTGACATTGAAGTGTACATTTTTCCTTTCCATGTTTTTCATCACAGGCCCAGGTTTAACATTTGTGGCGTACCCAGCTGCCGTTGCCAAGCTACCGATTTCTCCACTCTGGGCTGTGCTGTTCTTTCTTATGTTGTTTACTATTGGTGTAGACAGCCAGGTAGGATTTCAGATTCTTTTTGATGTAGTCCTGTACTTAAGTTTGTGTATACTCTGTATGCATTATCATTGGCCATCGATATTTCGAAAAGAACATGAATAATATTTGATTGTATAATGATCCGATAGCTAGAACAAATACAGAGTGTTGATATCTAACGATAATTCAATTGTGCAATCATATATCTGGTAAATCTGAATAACATTCAGTAAGTTAATCGACTTTATACTTTAATGCACTCGTTTAGAATACTGAATATTTAAATCTCCGTATTGATGGAAAACAGTGACAATGCATACTTAAACCATATCCATTTAATTTGACATGTGTGTGTAGGAAACATGCATACATGCATAATGTACTTGGTCTAGAGGGTATTGCGTAGAAAGTAAGAAAAATCTCCATCTTTCCACTGTTAATAAATAGTCGCGATAGCCTTCTTATTGCTAATTTTTGATTCTTCACAATTTTTTAAACAATTTTTAACATTTTGCTTAACTAAGAATATGAAACATTATTTTTAATAAAAGCTATGTAATGTACTAATTCAAATTTTCCTCACACTTTACGGTATCAATACAATTATCCCTAAACAAAGTCCTCAGAGACCGGCGTTTGTAAGCTCATTTTAATAAGTACGTATAAATCTATATATTTATATTGTAAATTATTGCATAAAAATATTAGCTATCTTAGTTTCCATTAGTTGGCTATTTGGAATAATTTCATTACCTAAATAATTAAAGGTATATTAATATTCATTCATCATTATTTAACCAGAAATACGGCTTGATCCCTTACACTGAATCGTGCAATATCGTACATTGTTTCATTTAGCCAGATTTACAATGCTTTTTTCATTTCATATCTTTAAGTTAATATCGTATTTTTCATTATACAAACAGGATATTAAGCAAAGGCCATATTTTGTGAGTATTTAGATCGCTCAAGTTTATATCTTAAAAGATATCAGGTTCTGAACAAACTTGGAGTCAAGGTTCACTTACAATCCAAGCGAACAAATTTGGCCTTAGATACAGCCAAACCTCGTTACCTTGAAAATGTGATCTTACATATAGCCAACTTTTGAAAAATGAAAATCGTTTAATAACAAGCCAGTCCATGATATGTCGAAGTCGTCGTTAAGATACGGAACGACATCGACTTATTGGATGTATTGGTGCCATGTAACAGAGGTATACACTGTATCTTCAATTCTAGAAAACACGGCATTGAGCTCAACTAAATGTCCACGATATGGATATACAAACACGTTATTTCATAATTCGATTGTGCTTCGAAATAAGAAAACATATGTTCGTATTGTTTAACGAACATATGTGTGTGTGTAATAGTAAATATATATGAATTACGTTCTTTAGTTTAAGTATCACCTCACGGAACAACCTGTCGAAAGTAAGTATTTTACGTATCACAAAAGGTTCTGAATGATGTGAATGTGTGCTTTTGAGAGAATACAAATTTGAAGGGAAAGTAGGAATGCAACAAAATGATAGATTATGGAACCCCCAATAGTATTTTTTTAAGTATCAACTCTAACATTAATAAATATAGAAATTGACACTAATATCATTATTATATATACACCCATACCTTGCTAAACAACCAGTGAAAGAGAGTGCGAGGGAGAGACATACAAAGGGGGGCTAGTCGTGCCTGAAATAGAATGGCATGTTCGTAAGTTAAGAATTGTTGATTTGAATGGTGTGTTTCATACCAAGTATTAAGACTTATTGTATTATTTAAGTTGATGATTTTTAACTGTCAGGAAAATGTAAATACAGATGACTTTATAGTATTAACTAAATTTATGATTACAATATTTACAACAGTATGAATCACACCATTTTAAATCATTGTTATGTTAAATTGTTCATCACGCTATTCAATTACCATACTTCAAAAGGCTAATGTCAATCACTTCATTTCGTGAAATATTTATTTCCGACATCATTCTAAAGATTCTCTGTTCAATTATCTGGAATAAAATTAAGATTCTGACATGTTTAAAAGGACTAATTATGAATTCTGACGATGTTGTAACAATTACAGCATGACAATTTCTGGAGCGGATTGCAAAATACGGGCGATTCGTTACACTGCAAAGATTATTTGTATAATAGTAAAAACTATCAATATTTATATGAAATATATATAACAAATACATCGAAAATGGGAGCTCTAATGATGTCAAATCAAACATACCCCAAGCTATGGTTTAAAAAGATAGAGTTGTGATTAAACAATTAAGCTTTTTTAATAAAAGTTTAATAAGAGGTTCCATCGTGCAACATTGTCTTGTCATCTAGATGTCATTTTAAAAATGTTGGAATATCCTTTTGAAATTCTGTTCTAATTCGAAAATATAAATGAAATTAACATTTCATGAATAAGTGATTAACATGAAGGGATTACATTATTTACTGTTGTTACTTATGTGTATTTTTGTTTTTTTCTTATTAAATTTCAAAAGCAGGTTAACGACGTTCAAGCTTCCAGTGGAGGGCAAGGGCCAACCTGCTGGCAACGGTCCTACCAAGCTTGCTTCATCCGACTAATAGGTTTTCTATCCAATGATACTTTATATTGCAATGATTCTCACATATATTTATATATATATCGATAATGGTAATGATATTGTCAACAAAAAGATTACTTGACGTAAACTGATCACAAAAACTTTTCGAGTATCAATTTTATCTTTTGACACTTAAGAATAAACCTGATTTGGTTTTTTTAACTTGTTTGGTACTTACAACTCACATGTCTATTTTTGAGTCTTTTCCCCCTAAAGTATTCATTCACAACGATTTATATACAAACAAAAATGACCGATGGTATTTTTTGCCAGATAGGAACATTGTTTTTTTCCTCACTGTTGTAACTATCCTAACAAGGTTTTAATAACTTTCTTTATGCACATACAAATAAAAAAATGAATTAATAGTTTTTGTATGAGAGAGTTAATTTGAAATTACAAATTTATTTCAAGGTATTTTTCTTTGTTGTAGGAAAATGAAACTATTTCAATCCGGTTGACTTTAATCAAATTAATTGGATGTATTTTGAGGTAACGTAAATGTGCAAAAGAAACTCGGTTCAATCTGTTCTTTTGGCATCTTAATAGTAAATACGATAATTTCACTTTCATTTACCGATATTGGAATGGAATGTTCTTGTTTACCAAACTTCCAATCAATTTGAATTCATCCAAGTCAACCGTTTTAATGTATTATATGATGGATTATGATAAAATGGGAAAGCTACTTCTGAGAGAATTGCATGCAAAGAAAAAAATACACAAAATATACACTCCTACTTAAGAGGACAGTTCAAGTATTGCTCAATATTACTCCCACCCGTCATGTCACGATAAAGAAAAATGAAAAAAAATGTTTTTAAATGCATATACTTGTGTATTTTTGTTCTTTTGACCTGCGTATAATTTTACTTTACACATATCAAGCTTGGAGTAATAATAAGATTTATTTTCCCACTTGAAGTTTTTGGAATATACCGACGAAAAAAGGTGCATTTATTTATTATTTTTCCCAATCTTCATACATCACCCTAATTCATAAAATCATATTTTCATATTAATGTATATATCGATATGGTCATGAAACGTACACGGAGGAATATTTATGAATTGTCTTTGCATGCAGTATTAATCAGAAAACGACTAAAAATGGTTTCTGTCTGTGTCATCGAAATATTTTAGACGTTATTGCATTGTAAGTTTACAAGACCAAAAAAGTCGATAAAACAATTGGCAGTCTTGTATACATAATAGTACCAGAGTTGCTTTCAGCTGCGTGGGGAAATCATATGTAATAATATTGGTATAGGCGTACTGGTTATTTCTGTATGTCATGTCGCTTCCGTGTTATTTTAATATATTAAGAAATCAATGACATGGAAACGAAAGAATATATGGAAAATTTGTAAAAAGAACATAACTTTACGTAGATGGTAAAAAACAATATCATGTTCCTAATTAAGTCAATTATTCATTACGGTGTTACCAAAGTGTTACAGGTTAGAAACTGTTCAATTTTGCATGTGTTTCCACATATGATTTTCTTTGTAAATGTGCCCATTTGAAAAAGAAATAGGCACTGCTGATATGCATCTCTTCATTCATGTTTTTCACATTATATATATATATATTTGTTATGTACATGATAAATATATATATGTCTTGCAAAAATGCGTTTGTAAATATCGTCCATATTCATTGACACAGTGGAAAACTTCCATTTTTCATCAGCTTTTTATCCCCATGGCAACTACCCTACATAATCCACCATACGTATCATACCATGCATCCATCATCTAAAAACTGTTGTTCACTTGTAGATATATGTGTAACGTCTGATTTTCTTTCTGTTATGCCCCTTAATTATGAGCAAAACATTGTTTTCTTTTTAATTTGGTATAACAATTAGTTAACACATTAAGTGATTAAAATGCTAGGAACTTACTTGAAACGAATACAATTAAAAATTTAGCATATTTCGGCATAAAAAGAACAACACAAACCTTTTTCCTACAAATTCCAAATCAACATTTGGTAACACATGCATTAGTCAAGGACACGATTTTTTTTTTTTTTTTTTTTGAGATAAACTACAAAAACAAACGCTACTTTGATGGTACAAGATAAATGACCTAGTTACCCTTGACACAAAGGTCTTCACCTGCTGAAACTATGTTACTGCTTTTTCTATTAACATGTTTTTTTCTTTGTCTATTTAGTTCGGTATGGTTGAGACATGCATCACAGCGTTCTTGGATACTTTCCCAAAGACTCTGAGGAGCAGACGAGTGCTTGTCTCTGCAATCGCCTGCACGATTGAATGTCTTCTTGGGCTGCCATTAATTACACAGGTGATGAATAGCAACATGCTTTTCTGAAATAATTAAATTAAAAGCTGGGGATGAAATAAACAGTAGTGAAATAAAATTAAATTCGGCTTGGTGGTCTAGTTTGTTGATGTCAACAGTTCAACGCTTTTTACAGCGAGAATGTTCCTACAATGTACAATTTTCAGAATATATATCTTATACTTTAAGCATAATTGTGATACTGACGGACAAATGTCAACTTGATTCTGCAATAGTCTTTTTAATAATTGAATAGATTTTTATTATGTGATATGTATTTCAAAGTAAGCAAGATAAATCAAGAAATAGATAAATTTTATAAATTCTGATATATTCAGATATATATTTTCAATTTTGATCTTATGAGGGCTTTCTTTATCTATTGTTGTGTTTTATAAATATGTAAGGTTACTCGCTTTATACTCACTGTTAACTTCATGTTATTTTTTCTTTATAATCTTTCCTACTTTCTTTGATGAAGAGTTAAATTAACTGTCTTTTTCTGCTGTTAATATTAACATATATATTGTTTCATATCAATCTGATCAATGTTGTGTTATATTTATCACAGGGAGGAATATACGTCCTACAGATTATTGACTGGTATTGTGCGAGTTTTTCGCTCATGTTGATATCACTTACCGAGGTTCTTGTCATCGCTTACGTTTACAGTAAGTTAAATCCGGAATCAAACGTTTAATTCAGGTCCTTTTGTATTATTCAAAGTTACAACGAAAATCCAATTAACACGAGGAGATGGCTGTACATATATATCTAAATCACTGTCATGTGTGCCTGAAAAGTTAGAAATAACTTGTTACTAAATGTTGTTTGTTAATTAATTAATTTTTTTTAAATAACCAAATTACAGAAGATATTTTAATTTGTGCTGGTTGAACTCTTCTCAAAACGATACTTTTTCGATATACGTTTTTGTAATATGATGAATATACAGAAATAAATGTTCTATTGAACTTATACAACGACATGTGTGTATATCTTAATCAAAATAAATAAGTAAATTAAAGTAGTCACATTTCACCTAGAATACTTAAATGGGGGATGTTTAAAACGGTATTAAAACAAATAAAATATCAAGATATTGCAACAAAACTTATTGTTATTTATGCCATTGTTTATGTTAATGCTAGTGTGATTTTCGTGAAAACTATATTTTTATGAAATGCGGAACAATATTGACGTGATATATAAAACGTTCACAACCTAGGATTATCAGGACCGGTGTTATATTTTGGTACATCTTAGTGTCGACTTAAAATGTGCTGAGATATATTTGATCGTTCTTTGTTGAAGTTGACGACAAGGTGCATTGTTTTTTTCTACAGAAACCGACCGATTTATGTCAGATATCGAGTTCATGATTGGGTTTAGACCACATGCAATCTGGATTTACCTTTGGAAGTTCATAACACCAGCTGTTATCGTGGTAGGTATTCACAAAACAAAAGTATGTCGTTGCATCAGTAAAATAAAATATTGAGTGTACGGTATATTGAACTAAAATATGCATAAGGTTAATTACCATAATGATTAATATTATCATTATGTTCTTAACAAAACAAATACAAGGCTCTTGTGTTGAATCCTGTAAGCTTTATTTTCAAAATGCGATTTACTTATTTCTTGAAGTAGTGATGAAAATTGACATAATTGTCATAACTGAATTCTCCAGAAAATTATCTAATGCCTTTTAATCAATGGAATAACCTGGAATAATGTTTATTTCTCTCCACAGTTTATTTGGTTGTTCAGTGTAATTACACTCGGTCCTGTGACTTATGACGGGCGATCTTACCCTCAATGGGCTATAATATTCGGATGGTGTCTTGGTGTTTCCTCCGTTATACCAATACCTGCTCTCATTATCTACCAGATACTGCGGGAGAGAGGTTCTCTTCGTCAGGTAAATAAAATATGCAAGTTACCTTACTCAAACACGTCTTTGAAGAAAACATAACAATATTTTCTACAAGAGAAATCAACAAATCGGCGCTTTCTTCACAAGACAATAGTCTTAATAGACAACAATTAAGGAGATTGTAAATAAGGCTGAGTTTATGGTATACTGTCACATTCAATCAGGATATTTTCTATCAGGTTTTCAAGCCTTTAGTATTTTGTTCAGACGATTTTTTCTGTATTTTTCAGAGAGTCATTAAGTTGATGAAACCATCCGAACAATGGGGACCTAGTGTCCAAGAAGATCGGGACAGATACTACAAACATTTAAATCTTCAAAAGAGGATGGACCTTACTGCACGACAGATTGAAGACGATGATGACATGGAAAAGCACATGTTTCTGCCTACAACTGAAAAGTCAAGCATGCCAGTATGAAGCGAAAATATGATGTCACCATATTAACATTAATAAATACATCAATAAGGAACGTTAGTTTCCTTATATCGCACTGTGGTTCCTATCAGTAACCAATAATTGGAGACAAAATAAACACGATCTGACCATTGGTTGCTTAAGTAGATAGGTCCCCGGGTCCCGATATTGATGAACATGGGTAATTTACAACTGTTTTGAAAAATGAAATCCGTAACGGAAACAGGATATGTTAATGATGAAATAATATTATCAGTAAATATTTGACGAATTGGAAATGCATACTGTTGTAGTGATTGCTCACTAGAAAATCACTATTAAGACAACTGAGCCATGTTTAAATGCCTTGTTTTGTTTTGTCTGGCGATATTGTCTTGTAAAAAAATACTTCCTTTCTTTTTGCATTTTATGATTGACCAGTAATTGATTGTGGTCATAATTCATTTCAAAATAGATCTCCTTTGTTGTCTTTATATTTGAAATCCGTAATAGAAATCCAGGCAAAATTCTATTATGATTCCTATAATAAACTTACCATGAAACATTTCACTTCTAGAGTCATTATAATATAATATTATGTTTCCATTGTTTTATATTAAGTGCTATGTACTATTATTATTTAAAAAGATTTTACTTCATACTTTGTTTTACTAAAACTGAAAAAAATAGAAAAGATATTTTTACAGTTCACAGTATTAAACAGTAATAATTTTACATTGCAGTGATACTCTTTTTCATTCGAAAATATCACACTGAAAACACCTCAACCATGATCAATCGATTATGGCATTGCAAAGTTCACTCTAAGTCATTTATATTTCATAACGTTCTCATAAGCACTAGCATCTGAAATCAATATATCATTTACATGTTATTTACCATTAGTTGGAAGAATGGTTTATATTTGCTATACAATCAATATTCTAATATCCACTACAAGGGCGAATGTTACAAAACATCCACATATCAAATATGTAATCACATCTATGTGATAATTATTTATAGTGCTAAACACCAAAGATTGTGAGATTTTTATATGGAATCTAGTCTTAATCAAATCCATATTGTCCTTTTTCAGTATTTACATTTTGATTATTGTAAACATAGGACCAGTTAAAATGCAAGAGATCGATGCGGTATGTGTTAAACCAATTAAAATGTATTACTTTATAAATTACATGTGGATTGTGAAGTAGTGTTATATATATTTTATCTTTAGTTGATACACTAGAAATGAAGTACTTAAAATCTGTACGGAGCACTATTAAGCTATGTTTTGTCGTAAGAATATTACGGTTAGTATTATTTGTTTATATGATTATGTAGGTTATATTTTATAGTTTGTACATCGTAGAATATATTTTGATGACTGCTTTTCGTTGGTTATTGTATATTATATATATATATGTTAAGCTTATTGGGAAACTAATATAGGTACACTTGTTATATTTTAAAAAAAAACGTAAGACATACTGATAATTATTAAAAGAAAAGGTACACATTTTTTCGAGGGTAACATGTGTGATTATTGAAATTAACATTCCATATAATGAGAATAAATTACCCAATTATAGAATATCATTATTACACATTAGGATATCCTAAATACTCAATCTATCAGTAGGTCTATGGTTTGGTCCATCCTTTAATAGTATGTTATGTAACCTTGATATGTGGATAATCCAATACACTCCTTTTGTTGTGGTCTTATTAAATCAACTTAACAAATCGAAATTATCCCGATCTGAAACAATGTAAATTTCGACCGTGTGTATCCATGGAACAGGAGATAATAACCCTTCTGGAGCATATTCTTTCTCTTGGAGAGTGTGAGGAGATTAAACATTACCTTCAAAGAACACTAGCCAACTTGGAGTGTTTAATATAATCCTTCGGAGACTTGTCCGAATTTAGTTATTGTCTAAACTATTTACTTATCTTTTCTGGAGTTAGTGATTATTTTCATAAAGCACCTGTCTCGTCCCGTAATGTCCTTTGTCATGTTTATTCGTGTTTCTTAGTTTTCGTTGACGTTTTTGGTATCGAATAGAATTGAATAAATACACTGATTTGGTATATTCTACTATCCGTATACATACATAACTAACATATTCATTTGTGCTCTATATGTTTTATATACTTGTACAACACAAGAGAAAATCACTATTTTGTAAGAATTTGAAGTTCGGTGCTCAATGTAATATGGTGTTAATCCTCTACCATATAAATATGTAAATAGTCAGTTATCGGCCATTGTATTACAGTATCAGATGGTGATTTACTAAATTAGTCTGTAAGATTTTAGTCGTATATCCACACAATGTGAACATCACACTTTCTCTTATAAATACGAGGTGCGTAATATTTGTTGACCAATTTAATCAAGTTATTTGCACTAATCAGTTGTATCTGTGATAATTTCGTGATCTGTTCCAGCAGAATGTAACTGAACGAAATCTACTTACCAAAGAAATTATTGAAATTAAGACTATTATTTGATCATACTTAAGAATTATGAGCGCTTTTGCAATTGTATGTTTTCAAGATCCGATACTGTGTATATGTCACTGTCTGTATTTGTTCCTTGTACAGTTTGTGTCTGATGTTGAAGTGTACATAATGCTTTGGAATGTGTATAAATATTCTTTCTTTTTGATTATTGATATGTATGTAAGGATCAGCCTTTTAAAAGTTTTCTTACTCTCTTGTCATATCTCAAGTGAAATGTTATTTGAGAAAGACGTGCTCACTCTCTCCCTATTGTTAAAAGGAAGTAGAGCAAATGATATTTTGAGTGTTTCTTAATATTCAAAGAAAATAAATTCCTTAAACAAATATGAACTGGTATAGGATGGTAATATCGACGGTAATGGTTTAACGAAAGAACAAATGAACTCACGAATTTATGACAAACAGTGCACCATATAGACTATTGTAAACATTAATTTTCCTTTTCGAAAAACAGAATTAAAGAGTTATTCATTTAAATTATCCTCTAGAAAATTTAATATACGAAGTTAATGATATTTACAAGATACCATAGAAAATATTTTACAGCATTATTTTGAATATGGAACATTTCATCTAATTTTTTACGCGTTGGTGCTGTGCTTTTATTATTTGTATTATTTTTTACTATTGGTCAGGTGAAGCCAAACATTGCCAAATGATCTTGAACTCATTAACGAAATCTTAGGACATCACAGTCATCAAACTTACTATATACATTATTGTAAACGTTGTCGTTGATAAAAACATTTCTCAACATAACAATGTCTGTTTCCATATTCTCTCTTCAAGCATTTCGTTTTTGTAATTTGAGTGCAATGTATAGACGTTAAAATCAAATAACAGTTTGGCTACTAGGGCTGACTATCATACGTGTTGTCCGTCCATTTAGTTTTCCCAAAATGATGTACTGATACAAATTTACATAGAGCGTTTTAAGTACGGGCTAAGCGTGTCAGCCCGGTAAATAAAGGAGAGACATCATATGTTATTTGATTAGAGAATACTCCAATGTATTGTTATATGATTAAAATGTATAAAACTAGTTTGTAGCTTTCTTAATCAACAAATCGCCTTGTAAGCACTATATTCCGTGACGAAATAACTTTCTTTGTTGTCAGCATTAATAAAAAAAACAATTTAGTTTGATCAGTAAACAATGAACAATCAATTGCACTAGTATTAGCACATGTCAGTTATTTTATTACAAATAAATAATGAAATTAAAATGTAAATGAGCTTATACACGTGTCATTATTTTTTATACTTATTTTGAATTCTGCATATGTTTGTGTAACATATGCACTGTATTTACGTATATATCAGTTGATCATTTCAGAACGGTGAACTGATATCATGAGTACCTCTGTCGTCAAAGTTTCTGTCTGACTTGGCTAAAGCAGACGTCTTGCTCTACTCATTATCTGTATTCAAGTGTAAGTTTTCTTTTTGGGATACTTATCCTCACAGACATGTGAGTCAGGAAAGTTTCGTATTTTTAACATTGTAGTATCTCAGGGAAGGAGGACAATGAATAAAACCACAGACTGAACACTGTAAGAAACAGTTCCAGATACTCATTAATTATATATATGCCTTGTCAGGATTACGTATAAGCATTTCACGTTATTTAATTATATCTGTAGTGACTCCAGTGGGATGCAGTTGAAATGATTCTGAGATGTCCTTGACCAAATATTGCTATTTTTGGAACAGTCCAAAATCCGATTCAGTCACCATGTTGAAAAAGACATTTTCAAAGGTCTTCTTAAGTTTAATTGGTATGGCCATGGAGTTGAAAGATGTACAAGAAGGCGGGAAGTGTTAGTCTTCAGCCCGGAAAAAATGTTCAATGTGACAGCCATAGCGGAATCTTTGTAGCCGGATCACGTAATCATGGTTATCATGAAAAATACTTAATTAAACTTCTTCTGAAGGTTCATAAGTTGGACTCAGTTGAACACATTGTCAATTCCAGTTTCTTTTCAAGTTCATCTGCCAAATACTGTAATCAAAATGTGCAGAAACTGAAATGAAGAGTGTTCTCTGCACATGGGCCTCTTGTTAGTTATGCAAATAATCAAAGTATACGATTTTGATCATGAAGAACTCTCTCCTGATATTTCAATAATTTGGAGATGAAACAAGGTGATTGGTCATTGCCTCAATGCCAGGTCAAAGAGCTTCATCAAAATCATTACGACAAAGGAAGAGAAGTTGATAAAGGCTTTTTGTAATGGCCATAACGTGCTTTGCAGACAATTATCAACAAAAAGATAAAAAGATAAAATATGTTTACTACAGGAACTAAATCAAGAATCATATTAGACTGTGTATTTCAAGGCAGTAGTTACCATTTATCTACAATGAACTGGAGACATCGTGTAAAACATTTTTTTTCCATTTTTCTAGGTTTTTAGCGATAATATTCCAGATACTTCTCAAAAATCAACATGAAACAATAAAACGTTAAGATGTTACAAGAAAATTAACAAAATGTGAGTACCACTACTTACAAGCTTAGATAAATAATGATAGCGGATAGAGAAGTGTGGTATTGTACAATCCAGGAGCTCTGAATAACAACAAAAGGGCGATAACTAGAATACACCTTAACCAGTACAACTTAGCAGTGACAACAATTTTTTTAACTTATGCTTAATCAAAAACAGTAACTATGAGAACATTACAACCACCAGATAGTCTAATATAGGTACGAAGGTTATACCGTACCCCTAAAAGTAGTCAAATATACGTACCTTTGTAACACTACAATTAATGGATAGTCACACTATCTACAGGGCAGACAAAACCGGAATTAGGGAACATCCGTAACTCATTATTAGACACAAATAAGACCTCAAGGAACACAACACTGATAATGGCAAAGGCAAAAGGAACGAAATTATTAAAAGTTGACACTTTTGCAAACGATAAATATCGCTGATGTTGATTTTTGTTTATAATTGCTGCCGAAATGTTTTCCTATCAACAGAGCTTTTTATGGAGATATTTTTTTTTTAATTTCAGAATTTTGTTTATTCACGACATGCTTTATAGTCACATACAGCTCCTTGTACAGGTAATATTACAGATCCTGTTGTATGTAGAATGCACACAGGACAATGACCATTGTACTAGTATTTTGACTGAGTGGGCCGTAGGTGTGTGGATAAGTTTGATACACGCGATCAAACGACAGGAACCATACAACTTTACTGATAGGTGATACATTACCACCTTATGTATAATCGTATTATCATACACAACAATGCTTCAAAGTGGGTTGAATCATTCTCATTGATCTGTCGTATAATGACTAGTTAAACACAGTCGTTAACAGGTGCTTAACAAAAGGGGCTTTTGCACAACCACACAATAACAGGTTAGCAAAGTTTTTTTACGACAGATTACAGCTCGTGCTTATTACTATACAGAGGTGGATACCATCACATTTTGTTTGTACAATGCAATTATGATAAAGTCTCCACTAAGTTAATACAAGGTATAACTTGCATAATTATCTTACATATGTATGATCAATGAGTGTATCATATCAGTGTAAATCATGTTAAGGTGGACTATGGTAGGTTTTAGCTAAAGTTGAGTATAGAAGGGTTGTGTAAGTATATATAGACGCTGAGGTTGTGAAATATTCATGTAAGAGTTGTAAGTATGTAGATTAGTTTAGAGGATGGATATGTTCTTTACATTTTCTTCCGGACTTAGACTCATGTTGGGTTTGTTGGGATGGAGATATTTGAGAAAGTGGATTAAATTTGGGATATTGTAAAGATAGAAATAGGTACTTTTTTGGAAAATAAAAAACCGGAATGAAATGGTTCCAAGGAGTTTGTAAAGGAGGAGAGAAACACTAATATTATAAGTTTGATGAAAGGGACATGGTTTTGAGTTAAAAGATCGGTATAGGGTTTATGGTATACGGTAAAGGGTTATTGTGGCACTACTGCTTACTTTACACTTCTCTCAAAGGAACAGTGTGATAAATCTCTTTTGCTATTACAAACGTGTTTGTGTGCAAAGGACCGTGGTACAGTGTAACCAATATATAATTCTGTTAGTGATGATGATGTCAGAGAAACTTAATGGAAATGACAAGTTTTAATCATATCTTTATAACAATAAAATACTGACTCTTTAATTAAAAAAAGATTTACCAGAAGTTGTTTCGTTGTTCACCAAACAGCACATTCAAATATACAGAGCCGAAACACACACCAATGGGAATTATTGCGGGAGTAAAATTCCTAGTATTTTGAAACGTCTTGAAAATTTCGCATAATTTGCATAATTACACTGAGAGGTTTGTTGGTGTAGTTTTTCTTCATTTCTTGATTAGATTCCAGATAATTTTGAACAATGAATCACTTGCTACCACAAAAGAATCACACTGTTAGAAAGAAGTCAGATTTTTAAACTAGCTATGTAAGGTCAAATAAAACACCAGAAAAATGCTAATCCAGCTTTATTCTTTGTTATCAGAAATATCTAGGAGATGAGACAGATATAGTCTGGTATTCGATGGGCTATATTTTTACTTCTTCATTGCCTTTATTTTCGGCCAATACAAAGCTGGACAAACAAGACCGGAGCAATCAAACGCTGTGGAAATAACTTGACTGCGCTGGATATATCCATTTGGTTATGTTTTTGATAATTGTTGTTCAGATGGGGAGGGAGAATCGTGATAGTGAACGGCTAGTTGAATATGTTGGCGACAGTATAGGAGTATGATACCTTTAAGTGTAGTATGATACCACTCGGCGTACGAACGTGCTGTCAGACATTATATAAATATGCATGTATATAAAGGTAGGAAACGATATATGTACATATGTACTACTGGTGTAAATAATTTAAATCTTTCACTCGTAAGCTGTTTCAAACCCATTAACTTGATTCGCTAAAACGATTAAACCTGTTATAAGACCAATTCAATGTATTGCGCGTATGTTAGTATTTTTTTTATTCATTAAGGCGGAGATTTTGGTTCCTTCTTAGTTCATAGTAGTCACTACAAACCAAACCAAAGGTCTATACCCGTATGTGTTAGTTTGATTCCTTGCTTGTTTCTCTTGTTTCTAGATTATGGTACTTGATCATACTGAACACAAGCATGCGTATTGTCTGCCTGACTGATGCCAAAATGCCGATAGTCTGCGACACAACGGACACACAAACCATTCAATAGTGGTGCGCTCATCTCAACACGGCACAGTACAGATAAAACCCCGGAGCTCTCCACTGGCTAATGCAATTTATGACATTCAAAAGAGTGTAAATATTTAATTGCATTGTTAACATAGAAAATACTTTTTATTGCGAAGCTGAGCGTCGTACAACAGCTAAAGTAACATCGGCTGATTGTACGGACGAATTTACAACTGTCAGGGGAGAAATTCCTAAGCCAGAGGAACGCGTTCCATGACTTCAGATCTACGTCAGAAGCAAAGTCTAGGGATAACAATCTATACAGGTATGGTGTGTAAGGCTGTGTGTAATTAAAGGTATACCATATCACTGGTGTGTCTGGGATAAACAGATCGAATTTAATCAAGGTAAGTCACATATGACTTTCTCTTCCAAATGGAAGATATATAGAGTACTATTGACCATCAAGGACTGGTTGGAAGTAAGGTAAACATTTCATCCAGACAATAATCAAGGTGAGTAGAGCATTTTTAAAATATAAAATACATATGAAAGTAATGGGAAGTTATCTGAGCAATGTATATATAGCGCATTTATGGCTGATTATGTATTTTTTTTTATCAAAGCTGATGTTTTGAGGAGAAATAAAAACTGGAAAGAAAAGAATTGAGCTTGATATTAAATATGTCAGATAGCAAGGGGTTAGATAGGACATAGTTGCTATACGTACATAACGTCAGACGCTGAACACAATAAATGAAATATTGACTATGTAATTTAGCAATCGTCTTTGTAAGAGAAGTGGTTATATGACTAATTCCATATCCGATAAAACGCCAACACATATGCTCTCCGGCATCGTAGTTTAGAAGACTCATAGGTGAGAACTTTACCTTGGCCTGTTCTATCAAAGACCTGTGCAGGAAAGACGAGGAAAGGTTAATCCAGCTTTATCCAACTGCATGCCGCAAGGGGCGATACATTGTGGGACACCCACTGCAGGTCTGTGTGGTTTATCCTCGAAAGAAGAATAAAGCTGCTGTATGTGTCCGCTACATTTCCTAAAAGACTACTACTTTTGTCAGGTCTGGTTGGTGTCCACGATGTCTTGTTTTAAACGGACAGTGGAGAACACAAACAAACAGTAAACATGATAGTAGGAGGCAAATAAAACTGGATCTCCAGCAGTGTGTATTACTAAGGGGACAAGGAGGAGACCAATATATATACTGGTACTATTGTAACACTTTGTGTCTTGACTCTCTCTTTCCTGTCTGTTCTCTCTATCTGTGTTTTGTATATATATATATATATATATACTGGTACTATTGTAACACTTAGTGTCTTGACTCTCTCTTTCCTGTCTGTTCTCTCTATCTGTGTTTTGTATATATATATATATATATATACTGGTACTTATTGTAACACTTAGTGTCTTGACTCTCTCTTTCCAGCCTGTTCTCTCTATCTGTGTTTTGTATATATATATATATATATATATATATATATATATATATATATATATATATATATATACTGGTACTATTTGTAACACTTAGTGTCTTGACTCTCTCTTTCCAGCCTGTTCTCTCTATCTGTGTTTTGTATATATATATATATATACTGGTACTATTGTAACACTTAGTGTCTTGACTCTCTCTTTCCAGCCTGTTCTCTCTATCTGTGTTTTGTATATATATATATATATATGTAATGGTACTATTGTAACACTTCGTGTCTTGGCACTCTCTTTCCTGTCTGTTCTCTCTATCTGTGTTTTGTATATATATATATATATATATATGTACTGGTACTATTGTAACACTTCGTGTCTTGACTCTCTCTTTCCTGTCTGTTCTCTCTATCTGTGTTTTGTATATATATATATATATATGTACTGGTACTATTGTAACACTTCGTGTCTTGACTCTTTCTTTCCTGTCTGTTCTCTCTATCTGTGTTTTGTATATATATATATTATTTATATATACTGGTACTATTGTAACGCTTAGTGTCTTGACTCTCTCTTTCCTGTCTGTTCTCTCTATCTGTGTTTTGTATATATATATATATATATATATATATATATATACTGGTACTATTGTAACACTTAGTGTCTTGACTCTCTCTTTCCAGCCTGTTCTCTCTATCTGTGCTATATATATATATATATACTGGTACTATTGTAACACTTAGTGTCTTGACTCTCTCTTTCCTGTCTGTTCTCTCTATCTGTGTTTTGTTTGTCATTTGTAGTGGTCCTCATGGTACATGTTCTCGTATGAACCTGGCTGTTGCGAGGTCGTTAATTGCCGTAAATAAATGTCAGGATTATATGTCCTTGAAACTACGGTTTATAGGTAAATTGACAATATCTACAAATCGGTGTGTGTGCAAACTATGGCTAGGTCTGTAATGTTATTACAAACAGCATGTTTAATAACAGCATAGGCCCGCAAATTCCGAACGCAAATGCTGAATGTGAGACTACGTTTAGTACATCTGTTAAATATTTATAACGATATAATTTAAGCATATATCGTGTTGTAACTAGTTTTAACTCTTGTCAGCTGTGATTAGAGCTAACTAAGATTTTACAGGACGTTTTATTGAACAAAGGCTCGTTAAACAACAGTTGTAAATAACAAGTTAAACATAATTATGTAACTGAACGTCGAGAATGACGTTCTCTGTAATAATTTTAGGTATACTTACCGTATTTGTAAAGTTAGGATCATCTAAGCCATTTTTAATACAAAAACGTTTTACTATCTTGATATGTTAAAACGATAAGTTATGAATAAATTAAATGCAGTTTTTTTTTCATTTATTATTATCCTTTTTATATTTTTAAAGATCTTATTATTTCTGCCTCATAACACTGGGCTTTTTTGGCTTATGTCATTTGAACTTTAAGCCTGTATAAAATCTGTTTTAATATTTCTGAACTGGTTATGTGTCCTTTAGGATGATAACTAGTTAAAAAAAATCATTCACAATGTTGATCAATAATATCTTAAAAAATTCGTTAATTTAACAAGAAAACAAGTTACTTCGCTATTGCTGGCATGATTGCGTGACGTCATTGCAGTCTTTATGACGTCATGATGGCTGTTTTAACATAGTTTGAAATATAAGGAACAAAATACTCATTTTCCATGAAAGCTCCTGAAAGGAGTGTCTCTAATTTCTATCTTTAAAATTACTACATGTATTTACACTTTTGCATTGAATTACAGATCATGTGAACTGAAGCGGAACACTAGAATCTCAAGGAAATATGTCAAGGGATCGCGATCGCCCATGTAAGTATATCAGTAGATTGTAGTCTACCATTGGTTCAATATCGAATACGGCATCTTCTTAAATTCAATATGATAGGTAATCTTTCTTAATATCTCTGGTGGGCCTACTTCCAAAGGAGGTTCGTAAAAAGACAAATCCGTACGTGGCATTCTGCTAGTCAAAAATGTTGTATCGGATTAAAAATTTTGGGTTGAGTTTTATTTAATAATTTTTTTATTTCATAATTCTTTTATGTAATTATGGTTGTATATTGTATGTATGTTGGATGTCGATCAAAAGCTCTTCAGATATTACATCGTCTGGTTTTACCTATAGAATTTCAGATAAAAATATTTTTATCTGATATGCATTTTGTGAGACATGGAAATAATTTGAACTGGGCATTCTTATTGTGAATATTCATGACATGTTATTTTGCAGTATACGTATGGATTGTGGGATTCTCCATTTCCGGTGTGATCGCAGTGGTGGGACTCATTTTGTTTCTGATATACGGATGTAAGCGATGGAAAGAAAACAAAAGAATAAAACTGCGCAGAATGGAACTGGAACGAGAAATGACAAAACAGATAGACAACAAAGAGGAAGTGAAACCTAGTACTTCCGGTTACTCCTATCGTAACAGCTCTCGTGTAGGTGTTTATGTTGGTAAAGAAACACCATCTGCGAGTCGAACGGACGTTACAGAAGAGAAGGAGACAATTAAACTGTCCGAATCAAACCGCACTGTAACTTTTCAAGTACCAAAACCTTAATCAGAAACCAATGACGTGTTTGATGACGAAATAAGCATCATTCCGATTTACGTGACATTCTTCATGAAAACATTTCTACGTTAAACAACAAGTGCAGCTAATGGTGTAACAAACTGTGTTATCATTGTCAAGTTTTCTTAAACATTGGTTCATTTTTGAAGCACTAAGATCAATTATGCTACCGTGTCTTTCATTGTACCATACCGGACATGAGTGGACGAAGGGTATGGATATTTGACCGTTGTATATGTTATATAAGGTAGACGATGATATATATGTCATCAGTCACGTGATTATTTATGTCATTAATTGTAGAAACACTGAACAAGTGGGTTTAATTTAGACCCCATTATGTACCGTGTACATATACGCACATCCTATTAAAATGATATATTTTATTTGATCTTGGTAATTTATCATATTATCAAAAATCGTTTATAGATAGAGCTTAACTGGTGTGCTGCAATCAACAAATTTAGGTTTAAGCATTGGTCTGAAACAGAGAACGTGAATAACTTCCCGGGAAAAGTACCAAATAAGGTCTTGATATCCTCTTGGAGTAAAATTTTCATGTCGACAACACAAAAACATAAACCTGTAGGATACTGATAGGAAATCACACTGCTCCGTGATGTGTGTCCTTTGTATATGTGTATGCATTGTTAAGTAAGTGGGAACCCATGTTAATGTTAACACAACCAGATCGATCGATGTCATACTACTAGCTTATCTTACCAGTAGCCACTTGTTATAAGATTGGCGACCACAAATGCTAACTAAATTGCCAATGCGCAATCAAACAAACGGGTAATGAGCCCCACTCCCAATAGGACTCGTTCCTCTACCTACTGCAGACATACGATTTCCTCCAACTATCTCACCGCTATTACCACTAACAGTGTATTGAGAGTCACGACTCCCTCCAGCTATCTCACCCCTACTACCACTGACAGTGTATTGAGAGTCACGACTCCCTCCAGCTATCTCACCCCTACTACCACTGACAGTTGTATTGAGAGTCACGACTCCCTCCAACTCTCTCACCCCTACTACCACTGACAGTTGTATTGAGAGTAACGACTCTCTCTTACTATCTCGACCCTACTACCAATGACAGCTGTATTGTGAGTCACGAACCCCTCCAACTATCTCACCCCTACTACCACTGACGGTGGTATTGAGAGTCACGACTCTCTCCAACTATCTCACCCCTACTACCACTGACAGTTGTATTGAGTCACGATTCCCTCCAACTATCTCACCCCTACTACCACTGACGGTGGTATTGAGAGTCACAACTCTCTCCAACTATCTCACCCCTACTACCAATGACAGTTGTATTGAGTCACGACTCCCTCCAACTATCTCACCCCTACTATATAATTTTATATGGTTTCCTATAAATCGATAACTTTGTCAAATAATTAATCCTGTTATAACAAGTAACTTCGTCTAGTGTTAAAACAAAAAGTCATTATCTAACCGACAGCATATGTAGTAAAAAGAGAAAACAAGCATACTTACCTCATTCCTCGCCTTGTCCTAGCCAATCAAAACGCTTCTTTCAACCATTGATGACGTAGACGTCACTTCCATTTTTCCAGTCAAGTTGTCGATAGATTCTTGTCACGATGTGGGAAAGGCTTCAAATGTTTCCCTGTTTAAATTATCTGTCTAAATGATTGTATGTAGTGATTCCTGGTGTACATACCTGAAATAGTCATGATGTCTATAGCTGAGTCGAGGAGAGGCGTCGAGAAGGGATCATAACGAGAAACTCATCCGAAGATGTTAGTGCGTTTTATTCAAATGGAAATCGGGATTAATTTATTTTTCTCTACGTTGTCATCCAGTAAAGGTATGAGACATGATGTAACTTGATTTAATTTAGATGTGATATTCTAACTGAAGATTGTCCCTTGATAGAGAATAGCAATCACGCACAGTGTATCGTCGTTCGACATTCCCACATTAAAAACAAACTCACTTGAGGCGGAGAAAAAATAAACGGGACATGTCACAAAGATGATCATCATTATACTCGTCACTTCATGGCCGCCATCTTTAGACTAGCGTAAGAATTCATGAGTATATCGGGGATTAGATGATGAACATTATCCAATAAAAAGAAGCGTTACATAACCATGATTTTAGGATTCGTAATAGATTTAAATATTTTTTTCTGACAGTGTCAGTTTTGCCCATTGATTAGCGGTATTTTATAAGACTTCATATCAATACAACACACATACTGACATAGAACCGCTTAATTCATCGTTAAAATATTCCCTTTATTATTTTTTGAATCAGGTTCCACAAACTGACCGTGATTGCTGTATAATCATGCCAAAATTTTGCACTTTCGGAAGCTATTTTTCCTATAAAGCTCGTGTTTTTCCACTTTTTGAAAAAATAACTAACTCGGATGAAATAAGAAAGCACGAAAAAGGAAAGAAATAAGTATCAGATTGTATTCGACATAAAGACATTTGATATTTATTGGACGTAAATATAAACAATAAATCGTCACGTAATTGTTTATTACTCACTTCAATATTGTTAAAATATAAACAACTACCAACAGCTGTTGTCCAGCACTATAAATGTTGATTACTCAAAACTAACATAATTTTGTAACATACAGTTTGGTCCGAGTATCGTAGTTTACAAGGCAAGTTTATAAGATATGGTTCCAGATTTCTGCCATTTCATGACACCGGACTCCCACTTCGAAGCACTGCTTCAGACAGCTACGTCATGGAGTATAAACTCCTTACTTCTAATCTTAGTGAGTCAGATTCACACGGAAATGTGTTTGACCCTGGGTGGTCAAATTCCCACTTTAACATTTCTATAAAAATACTTCGTAATATGGAGGACACTGACCAGTGCATGTTATCGTTCCTTTGACAAGAAACCCGGAGTTTTATATCAAACACTACCAAATACATGAGTTTCTCTTTAAAGAAGTTTACGTGTAGAAATGGTCACTATTTATGGATACAGTGTATTACTAGTGTTAATATATAATTCTAAATATCCATGAAAAATTTTATAATGTAAAATTCGATTCATGGACATCCATTGATACGTCTTGCTGCATTGATAGATATCCATAATTTACTTATCAATATAAATAAGTGATTTACAAAAATATTCAAATATAGTTACGATATCTGTAATGACCCTTGATTTTTTTTATATTCGTAAATCATTTGTAAATATCTAACATGAATTAGGGATATGTATAAATCAGACTGTTCTAAGTATCAACCATTAGGAGTTCAGAGGTGGTAAGACTAATTCAAGGATATTTAGATGAACATTTGTTTTTGAAAGTATCAACTACATCGTTACACTTTTTATCCTAAAGTGTGTCATAATTGCGACAAGATTTTTTTTTATATTCATAATTATAAAGTCGATCTGACATGCGCATAAGAAGTATCCATGAAAGCATTGCACTTATTGAAAATGTGAGTTAGTCGGAAAACGACATTTTTTTACGACTTCTGATCTCCGTAAACGGCCATCTAAGCGTCAGATTTGTGACTCAAGGGAGACAACTCTTTTAAATTGAATAACGTCATTAATCAATAAAATTTTCGACGAATGATTGATATTCGATCCGCAAATCCCGAAGTCACGAGATTTGTTCGCGACTTATCTAACAAGGAAGAGAAAATGCAATAATTGGAGGGTGAGTTGATAATCTGACAATTTGACAGAAAAAAAAACATATTAATTACGGAGATATAACTATTTTAACATCAAACTCGTCCCGTAGTATGCATGTAAACAATATGTATCTCAGGTTGTCTAGGAATTTAAGTCTACTCATTTATTTCTCAGTTAAAATTAAATACGCAATTTGTGGAAATGTTTTCAGGAGAGAGAGAATGGTTTTTATTATCATCTTTTGTAATAAGGTTGTATAAGGGGTTATATGTATTGTTTGATACAGTATAATGTCGGAAATGCGAAAGAACACCAATTTGAATGCATGTATTCCATTCAATATCACTGGTGTATGACGTTAAACCTTTCAGGTGTCAGATCTCGAGCTACCAGCTATGATACACATCGTATTTTAAACTATTATGCGGTCTCTTTAACTCGCTCGAATAATCACGGTCAACTTCCTGGTTGGTCTTCATCGCAATCAAATCACAGGAAATTATGTACGTATCTAAAACGAATTTCTCTATAAATACAGTATGCTACCTCTTTTAAATGATATGGTTATATTTATATAAGTAAATAAAAATATTTTTGATGCTTCATGGACAAGTTTGTATAAGAGTAGTTTATATTAGCATATTCTCCTCTGTCATCTCTAAAGTGTTTTTATCTAAGCCGTATGTTATTCATAGACCGACAGCAAGCTATCGTACAACTGGGCCACAGATTGGATTGAAAACGACAATTTCATTAAAACGACAAAATATAAATCAATTGCATTAAATTAAACAAAAACTTCCATATAAGGGGTAATATGACAAGATTTCGAACAAATACTGATCTACTATTAACGTTACGTAGTTATTTAAAGTCACAACAAACAACGTTACGTGATATGACTCCATTAAGAGGCACGAGAAGTCAATCCCTACCCAGCTATTTCAATCCTCTTTTTAGTTGACAACAAAAAAATCTTTTTAGATATCAGGATGCTATGATTTATAGAATATCCAATAGAGATATTTTGTACAGACATAACACTAACGTTGTATTTTATTTTTATATTGTTTAACACTTAGTTCAATTCTCACTAACATGTGTCAATGGATATCATTAATCACGACTTAGTCTGAAGTGGTTTATCTAGAGACTATAAATATCGGTGTGTGATCCTCTCCTTACAATGTCCTTTTGTGCACTGTTTTAAGGAGTGCAGTGTGCCGTTTTGTAAACCACTCTGTTCGGGGAGATATGTACATGTCTGTGCTGCGTCGACATAAATCTATTTTGCAGGCAGGACAATTCTGTGATACAGAGCTTCATATACATAAAAAAACTAATTATGTTAGAAGGTAAGTTTATATATCCGAAAATACATCATAAATCACAGACATTTTGCTGTCTGCTATGACTAGGACAAATACTAGTCACAGACATTTGGTATACTGTATTATTATTTATTTCGTAAGTATCAAGTGTGCTAACATTCTACAAGAGCAAATCGGACAGAATTTGTTATACGTACCCCCTACCCGTGTAATTTTTACTTCTCGGGAAGCCGAGAACCGGACCGTTGTTGTGTCTGTGTATGACATGTACTTGTACTCATCAAAATACAACCATTAACCTACCTCAAAGTGCTAGCTAATTAATCATAAACCTCTTTTTTGAAATTACAGGTTCGATTGAAAGATATTTTGAAAAGCCGGACTATGAGTAACCAATTAGCTGGATTGCCCACTTATTATACTTTGGTTAACGGAGCGTTTGTTCCGGTAGCGTTGGGTCCTGGACAGCTTCCATATGGACCAGTACCGTATTATGTCTACAGCAATGGGGCGTATGTCCCGGTAGCACAACCAATGGCATACGTACCGCAACCGCATTTCTATGGACCGGTACCGGCAGCGCAGCCACAACCACATTTACAGCCACAGCTACAGCCACAGCTACAGTCATACATGTATCAACGGCCACAAGTACCACAGTACGAGCATTCTGTATCCGTAGAAAAGGGTGGAATGCCGCCACCATATTGCCCGTCGCAACCTCAACAATCCACACAGCCCGATCAACCTGCCTGTATACCTCCGCCGCTACCGATGGTAAATCCGATGTATTCTTTAAACTCAATTCATGTTCGTGTTTAGTTTTGTTCTTTTTTCCTTTTTTCATTTTCATTTTCCCTCATTTACGTCATGTAGTATCAAAAAGCCAAACATGAGCGATTAACATAATCGTTAAGTTTGTTTTGCAATAGTTGTAATATGTTTTGTATTCTTAGATATCACAAATCGAAGTTCAAGCCGGGGAAGCGTTTGTCGCTAACATACATAACAAACCATATTCCGCTAAGGAAAAACGTGTCCTTTCTGTACTGTTTTTTTATATATGTTATGATGGATTCCGGACATACGTTAAATAGAGAATGCCATAAAAACAATGTGATGACGTTAGGTCAACATCACGTGTTTTAGAGGGCCAATAAAGTATGTAAAATACTACAAGGGAATGAGAAAGTGGAATGTCAACTAATGAAACGATTCTCTTAAGTTTGTTGTTTGTCAATTTGATAATCTTTTCACGGGAGTATAAACCCCTTTTTCTCATCATCAAGAGGTTGAAATTCGTTATCATACAGGACCATGTAATCGAATGAACGTTTTGTTTTTGACTTAATTTAAAGACTGTTTGGCAATCCATTTGTGATGATATACTCCGTTAGAACCTGTCCGGCTATCTTTGCTTTTGAGACACTTTTGGTACTTTCAGAACAATGCATATGTGATGGTTTGTGCTATAGACTTCGGTACAACCTATAGTGGTTATGTTTGCTCCTGGACAAAGGAGTATAAAGAGGATAAATTGAAGATGTTTTGTCGGACATGGAAGGGGGCGCACGGCAGGACAGAGAAAACACCTACTGTAGCTCTATTTGACCCGGATATGAACTTTAAATTCTTTGGACATGAAGCTGAAACAGAGTATGCTAATTTGCAACCGCCGGAGAGAAAGAAGTGGTACCTATTTCAACAATTCAAAATGAAACTCTATGAAGCTGAGGTAAGATTTCATTGGAATGAACAGGGTGAATGAAGTCTCGTTCACTAGTCATTGTCTTAAAAATAGATTCAACTGATTTGCCGGGTGAAGAACCAAATGTCTGTATTATGAGACCCGAGCTCAGAGAAGTAACGGGTGTAGAGAACTGACTAGCTTGCTCTGGGGTAACATGTTGCTAAATTCCTTAAGAAAACCTAAGTGGCGCGTGCACTCGGTCTACGTGACCCTCTCCTTGTCCCTCACTTTGTGATTTGATAAATGATTAATCCCCTCACAGAGGATTTAGGATGAAAATGTTCCCGAAAACATCAAACAAGATAATTTTAACACTCCCGATATTGAACACTAAAGCTCACTTAGAACACCACGTAACGTCTCCTTATAAATACATTACATATTTTATGGTGTTGACATGCACCTAAAATTAACTCTAGTTTTTTTACAACAGGACAACGTTTATATAACTTTTTTTCCTATACGCCTAGGTATCTGATTTAAATGTTGCGTTTAAATAGGTAAGAATAGATAACATATAAAGACTGAAGTCACGCTTGAAAAATAAAATACAACAGCTTTAACATCGATGACCTGATTTGCCAAGCGGTTATCAATAATTTTTTTTACTTTGCTTTCATGATAAATGATATTTTCTAATTCAATACAAGCTTGATTTGGTAATACCATGGTAATTTAGAATCTCTAAAAAGCTGCCATTTCATATGAAATTTTATGAAACGAGTTTTTCTGGGAGCCTTTGTGGAGGCAGCAATTTAATTGCGCCTTTTGCAATTCATTAGTTTAAAATATTGTCGATATTTTTATGTTTCATCAATTTCTAACTGGCACCGCCAATAAAAACGCCCCACGCAAGACATGTATTACAGATGTACTTAGAGTATTACCATGGCTATTTCACAGGCAGATGAACAAATTGTCATATTCCGTCTTTTACGACAATAAGTGATAATAATGAGATCACACTTACAGATAACATCATGATTTCAGATCGAATATCACAAATATAGACCGAATGGCTATACCGTTTTTAATCAATTTAATAAAATAATAATATATAATATATAAAAATAAATAATAAAAAAATATTTTTAACTCAATAGTTTCGTTTCATCAATCTCAACCTCAACCTATATTAGATTTTATATGTTTCTGATCCTAGTGACTAGTAAATTTACACATAATATAATGATCCTGTTATGTCATTATTAAAGAGAGCTTATTATGTTGTATAAATTAATAATTTCCTACTAACTGACAAAACAAGTCATGAACTATCTGATATATGATATACACTGGAATATTTAACATCTAAAGTTACCGTCGTCAAAGCCTGTAATTCTTTGCAAGCAGACAAAAATAATGTAATTCTATCTCCATTTTCCATTTCTTTCATACTGGAGGTGTATAGAGCAACCTTCTTATAGTATATTGTGTTACAATACCGGTAGAAAGGTTTACGGACAACTTTGTTCACATTTTCTCACAGCAAGAGTTCTTATGTTAGCTTCATGACTGCAAACAACATTGATATGCTATTTTGTCCAGTTGGTATGATTTTATCTAACTTTTTTTTCTAAGTTTACGGCAGCGTTTACAGCAGCCACATCTTGAAAACGCATGGATATTAATCATAGTTCGTTTTTTAAGGATCTAAGCTTAGAAGCAACGTTGAGGCCATTTAACAGAAACGACAAAAAAATAGCCGTGGATGTGATAGCAGCTATACTGAAATATCTGAGGGCTGATGTCCTGGAAAATGCCAAGAGCAAAAACTCAAACACCAGTCCTGACTCCGATAAGATCCGCTGGATTCTTACAGTTCCTGCAATTTGGAGCGACAAAGCAAAGATATTTATGAGAACTGCTGCAGAGAAGGTACCGAAAAGGAGGTTTTTTCACTATTACTTGTCCATCCCTACAGTGGTTTTGCTGATAGCATTATATCATATCATGTCAGTAATTTAGGTGTTTGCATCCGAGGAACATAACATTCCTCAAAGATTATATAAAAGACACAAAATTGCATTTTAATATAAATTCAGAATCAGAGCCAACTAAAGCATTAAACTGAATCATGCGGCTGTTTCTTCCTTCTAGACCTCGTCAGAGATACTAATGGATTCAATCTTAAAACATCTGACGTCATTAAAGAAAAGCAATATCGAAACTTATTATTTCGTTAAGTACATGTATATATTCTGAACTTTGGCAGTTAATTAAGATGTGGCATGCAGGTTACGGCAAACATCAAGGACTTATGTTAACCAGCAGTGTCTTCAATTGCAAGTTGGAAGATTGTACGAAAGACTCACAAGTGAATAGCACCTCCTTCCAGACATTTGAAATTAAAATTATGTAATAAAAACAATGTTACATACCAATGCTTATAGATATACCCTATTTTAGAGGAATTGTGTTACCTGATATGTGTCGTACATTTCAGGCTGGAATCGACAAGGATAATTTGTCGCTCGCACTAGAACCAGAGGCTGCTGCCCTCTATTGTCGTCACCTCAATCCCGCTTCGACGTCACAAGGCCAAGATATTCCAAATACTCGACCACTGGGATTGGAAAGAAAGTTCATGGTAGTCGACCTCGGGGGTGAGATTTTATACATTACCTATCTAGGTTGGATAGACTATGATCAAATAACAGTCGGAGGTAAAGACTAATATATCTCTTTTATATGAATATTGAAGGAAAGTATTGCTTTTTTCTGCGTTGTAAACATACACTTAGCCGGACAATTCCATAATAAACTATTGTTATACCCACGGGAACAGTGCTTTCTCTTATGAGGCTGAATATATCAAATAGTTTATAAAACGAGTAACAGAGACCTTGTGGAGTCCTCCGATTTCACTCTTAGATATACGAATGAATTCCTCTCTTTATTGACCATATCATTCAGATATATTCAACAGAATTTGAAATCAATTGCATGACAGTCTCTTCTTCATCAGCAATATACCTCATGTTTTACTTAAATACTTAAATCACAAACAGAAGGGCTGATTTCAACGATGCTGTTAAGGGAGATAATTTCAGTTTTTTTCAGTGTTTTTTTCTTTCCATTTATATGTCTTACAAACACTGGTTCCTCAACCCATAATGTTCAAGTGTCGCAATTGGTTTGTTTTAAAGGACTTGTGGATGGAACAATAAAACACTATTTCTAGAGATGAGATACCGGTTGATGTGAAAGTTGACCTTATTTTGGAGATATTCTATGTTATATTGAATTATATGAAGTTAACATTGGTATTTTACATAAAAGTTGCGCATAAAAAACGATACGGTTAGATAATGGCATCATATATGTTTTATAAGTTTTTGGCTCGATATGACTGAAAATAGAAGAAAAAATGTAAATGTTTTTTCATACTGATGGACAAATATAATGAAGTTTTTCTTTTTAGATGCTGTGAGAACGAATATTGGTTGTATATATGATGACAATCAGAATATTGAATCTGACAATTTAATTTACATACCTAGCAATGCAAACAACTGATCTAAAATCCTCTAAACATACATATCAGAAGCTTGTATGAATGAATATTGTTCCGTTGACTGGCTGTGCCAATAACCCAAGAAACTTTTTTTTCTGCTGATTTTTTTTTCAATTCGAGTAGAAACTGCACAAGGATTTTCTCAAATGTGACCAGATAGGTGATACACTAATAATGTTAATGTGTACTATCAAAGTAAATGCGTATTCTGGTGTATGTATACGAAACGATCAGCAATCATACATCTCTGACTGTTAATTTGTTATTTCCCTACACTATTTAAGGAGGAACAGCGGACATCACTGTTTACCAGCAGTCAGAAGGTGGATTTCTTCAAGAATTACACACACCAACAGGTGGTCACTGGGGTGGAACAACAGTAGACGAAGCCTTCCATAAGATGCTATTTGCTATATTCGGAGCAGAAGTCATCCATATCGCAAAGGAGGAACATCCAGGAGAAATGCTAAGTCTTCAACATAACTTCGAGAGTGCCAAACGTGAATACATCCCAGGTAAAAAGGAAAAAGTACACGTGAAGATCCCAGCAATACTGGGGTCAACATTAAAAGAGTCAACAGGCCAAGATATAGATGAATACATGAAAGACATTGGACCATCTGGAGAAGGAGTATCATTTCTTGCAGATAAAATGTCGATTAGCGACCAGAGGTTCGAAAGGCTATTTAGTACGTCGCTAGGTAACATGATCCAGCATCTCGACGACCTGATGCAACATGACAACATCATGCCCCTAGACGCCGTGGTGCTCGTCGGTGGATATTCAGAGGCAAAGATCATTAGAAAGCAACTGGAATCCTATTTTAGTGCAACAAGATTCATATCACCACCTGATCCATCCATGGCTGTAATGAAAGGAGCGGCGTTGTTCGGACACGAGCCTTTGGCGATCGCCTCGCGGGTGTGCAAATATACATATGGTATCGCCATAACTGTTCCATTCGTTGACGGAAAACACGATGACAAGAAGAAGAAAAAAATTGGTAACGAGATTGTTTGTGACGATGTTTTCGACATTCACCTAAAGAAGGGAACGCATGTTTCCATAGGTTCGCAGCACGTGGTAAAGGAATTGCGCGCTCCTATCAACCATAACGAAATTTTTGTGGAAGTGTACGCGTCACCCAAAGAATGTCCAAAATATGTGACGGAAGAAAACTGTACACTTCTAGGATCTGCCCACGTAACATTGTCAGATGATATCACAAGAGATGATCCTGTCTACGTCAAAATAATCTATGCTGGTACAGAACTTGAAGTCCAGGTAATTGAAGGAAGGACTAGGAAGACATCACGAGCGAAGGTTAAGTTTGTAGGATAGGTGTTGAAAGGACTTAAGCAGAAATAGGTCACAACAGTCCAAAAGACAGAAGAAACAGTATTATCTCTAAAATGTTAGAAGTGTTCAACTGAACGTTATATGTGGTGTGAAACATTACGCAGTCAAATGACTCTCTTCGTCGCTGAAATAATTATTGATCTTATCTATCATAAAATCATAAATCAAAATAGTAGTGACCTTATTGTTCTTGTTCTAGAGTTTCCAAATACGCCCCTTCTCTCTCTCCCCTTCTTTGCCTGTCTCTGTGTCTGTCTGTCTGTCTGTCTGTCTGTCTGTGTCTCTCGTTACGTTTACAGCTGTTCATCATCGCACTGTGGTGATCTGTGATAACAGACCGAGGATCAACACATATAGACGAGTTAGGCCTCAGAAATTTGACAGTAGAGATGATATGTAAGTAATAGATAAGAATAAGTATAGCGTCGTTTTCGATCTTCTTCAGAAATCTTAGTTGATTGTCTCTACAGAAGTGTAATGTTGTATTTTACTGAGAGATACTTCCCTTATAATTGAGTGTAGACTTACCTTTAAACCCAATGTACCTGTAATGCACAATATTAAGATGAGCCTTTAGACGGGGTTTAGACTACAGGTAAAGTATCTGAACAATAGACCTGGTACAGGTGATGGAGTTATCTCCTCCAATATATAATGGACAGTTTCCTCAGCTACCTGTGCCTGTGTAATGCCTAAAGTCTGTACCTGTATAGTATCCTACAGCTGCCAGTGTCAATACCATAGGTTAAAGAAGCAGAATATTGTTATCTAGAAATGGAAAACTCACAATAGGGAAATTGAAATCATCACGTTTATCATACGGTTTGATGGAAAGATGTCCTTGTTCATTCCGTTGCCGATGTTAAAGAATCGGTCGTATCTTTGTTTTCCAGTTCTGGTGAAAATGTAGGATGGAAGTAGCCAATACATTTCATGTTAATTAAAGACGTCATCAAAATATCTGAAGGTAAAATTAAACGGCTTTGCAAGGATCAGACCCTTCAATAAATTCAACCTCGTATGCAAGTCAGTCAAAAGAGGGGCGCAGTTGTATATCAATAATTTATCTGAGATCAGGGGAACTTTAACTCGATTTTATCTATTGGTAATACGTATGTATCATGTTTTAATATCATTCAACAAAGGTAGACAAGTATAGTAGATATGACCCAGGTTAATATCACAATTCAGTAACATGACCCTATTGTTAATGACGGTGTCGTTGGATATGAGCAGCATTCCTTTTCCATAATTCATAAAGGTCACGGTATGTCCAGGTGACCCGTTGCTTGAACTTTTGTGATTTTAGATTACAAAAAGACTGTCTGAGTGAGTATAGCCCTTTTTTAGCATTTACTGAACAACACTTGCCGTTGATATCAGGACGGAAAGCGATGTGAATATTACGTACATAAGCCAATACAGATCATTAGCATATGTATGTCGTTAAAGCGCGTTAGTTATCTCTCTTTAAGGCGATACATAGGTCTTGCTTTAACGTACTAGTTATATAAAGATTACATCCTATGTACACTAAAATGGAAAATAGTCTGACGAGATGGTAAAATAATTTAAAAAGTACGAAAGATGATAAAAAGCTACTACAGGCGATTAGGACACGCATTGCTTAACACTTAGCGATATAATTGAGAGAGTCTGCTTTATGCTTGCACACTTGGCGTATCCAGATGGCCTCCTTAAGCAGCCATCTGAAAATGTTGATTTCCCTGTCGACTGTTTTTAGAATGTTCCCAGTCAATGATATGTTTTTGCTTTGTGAACTGATTTTTCAGCACCAACTTTTTAGCCAGAGACTGAAAATGCTCTTTTTCTGATATAGTGATTTCCTTGCCTTCTTGAGTTCCTGTATCGTAAACGCATTCTGCGACGTTCTCTTTTGGTGTTTTCAATATCTTCTATTGTTTTGTTTTGTTGTCTCAAGACGCCTATGTGCTTTCGTAAATCTATGAGAATGAACTAAATAGAAAAGTTAAAAAGTTTTGAGCATCCTGCAAAGTGATATTTCCTATTGACGATTGGATGGACATACGTCCCGGATTTTCGTATTAATATACTTTATGAGATATGGTGCACTTCACATGGACAAAATGCTTATCAGTGTGTGTCCTTCTGTAAATCGACATTGATCTATTATCCTCATGACAAAACTTGTTGATGTATTTTTTGTCTCTATAACAAAACTTTGCTCTTTCCGTTCCTATTAAACCTATATAGAGACATTCTCCGAACAGGTAGTGTTATTTTGTAGGCGAAGTCTCATTGAAGTATCTGGTAGCTACCTCTGATATTTGTTTTATTTACATAACTATGTTGTGTTTCGGGAGAGTTATCTTAAAGTCCTGTGTATGTCAATCAAATAGCTATTTGTTGATACATTAATCCATATTTTTTTTATTTTTAACAATTATTCCTCATTGTTCAGTCTTACAGTATTGCTTTAGTGGGAAAATATATATTGCGACGAACCACAAAACTAAATGACAATAAAGATACTAACATAAACATGTGTAACGAACAGCCTTGTGAACAGGAATATACCCTTCTACAAATTGTGTATGGTAAGTTGGTTAATACGTATGAAATATTTTATACACTTGATACGAGTGCAAGACTATGAAAAAGCCGTTAAAGAGTCAATTTAGACGGTTTAGAGTTTCAATGAGTCGGGATAAAGGTGCTACTAGTATTTCAGTTAGTTCAACAGGCTGTTAAACATATCTATATTGTTATGTCACTCGATGTGTTTTCTCGAATTTGGCAGTAACGGCATTTCCAAATCGTAATGCCTGGGATAAAGGACGATTGCTGAAAGGAAAATCACGTCACATGATGCCACGAGATGAAGATTAAGAAGGCTATATGAAAGTGTTACTTCATCGTCAATTTTTTTTAATTTCAAAGTGGCTTATTTTCTTCGTTGGTGAGCGTGGTATATTTATTGTCGGTATATCGTTCTCGTTACTTATGTACCTTCTGAATAGTTCACTTGAGTTCAAACGCGGGCAGGCATTTGTTTCTATCACAAATTGTACATGTGTATCTCGATACTAATTTCTACTCCAGAAAGACTTTTCTTGCAATAGACGATGTCAATGAAATGATAATTGAGGGGTGTGACTTTGGAGTCACTTAAGAAGCTGCTGGATTTAATAGCCTTACTCAAGATGACAAAGAGAAAATCCAAAAAGGAATGAAAACTACCGTGACAAGTTTAATTTTCCTTTCGTCATCTGTCCTCGGACAAAAAAGGAGGCCATTTTCGAAGGATTGGAGCTTTGATTACAAAAAAGTAATAAGGACGAAGTAACAAAAGATGTAGAGCAAGTAAAACTGAGAGCGTTATTGCGAATGCTTAGTATTGTACAACAATGACGTTTTTACTGATGTCGTTCAAATCTAATACTATCACAGAGGCAGATCAAGGATAATGGAAAGTTATAATATTTACTATCGTTAAACACTTCTGACACAAACTTATTGTCTTACTATAAAGCTTCATTATCACTCTTGTCCTTCAGAATAAAATAAATATGTATGACGTTGTGTTCGTAAATGTGTAATAATGACAAATGTGAACTGTGTTTTATTCATATCATTCAGGGATTTGTTTGGTATTGTTAACTCTTATTTCTTTATTTGTTTTTAGATAATTCCATTCAAAAACACGTTGCGGTCGTATGTATACTGAAAGGATAAAGAAACGCAGGGTAATATTTATTCCGATATTTTGAAAACGCAATCTCCAAATAAAGTGAAACTTTGTGGATTTAGTAATTAGGTCATATTTCACCTTGTCATGTATCGAAAATTTAGTCACGGTACAGTGCGCAGCTCAAGTAAATAGAGGAAGGAAAAAACAAGAATCTCGTGCACCGTGTTGTTCTGGTCTTATGCAGCGTTGGTCAAGTCATTCTTCGTTAGTCTTTATACAGACCAACTGCTTCCCTAAAATTAATTGAGAAATTGATTCGTTTTAAGAATGGCACGACTCCCAGAAGTTCAGAGGGGTCAGGCCATTCAGATGCTGATGCAAGGACAGCTTGCAAAGTCAGGTTGCTAGGCACTTTGGTGTTAATGTTTCCACCATAGAACGTCTTGTAAGACGTCTTCGGGAAAATGGGCGATTGGCCGATCGATCTAGGTCAGGAAGTCCGCGCGTAACGTCACGACGTCAGGATCGCTATATCGTCGTCTCTCATGTGCGTACTCGGCGCCTTACTGCCGTTGAGAGTGCACTTAATGTTCGTGGAAATCCTGGTCCTATAAGTTCAAAAACTGCAAGGAATCGATTACGAGAAGTTGGTGTAAGAGCACTTCGCACCTACGTAGGTCCACACCTTACCCCTGCTCGACGTCAGCATCGTATGGCCTGGGTCGCTGCACATGCTCCACGACGGTTTCCACTGAGGCAGTGGAAACAAGTTTTCTTCACGGACGAGTCTCGATTCTGTCTTTATCGATCTGACGGCCGTCAACGTGTCTACCGACGTCGTGGCGAACGTTTTACGGACGCTTGCGTTGTAGAGAGGGATAGGTTTGGGGGCGGTTCAGTAATGGTGTGGGGAGGAATCTCACACGGGTTAAAATCACAATTGGTTGTTATTGATTATAATTTAACAGCAGCTAAGTATAGAGATGAGATCCTCCGACCCCATGTTATCACTTTCATACAGCAGCATAATCTAACCCTCCAGCAGGATAATGCTAGGCCCCACGTAGCAAGGATTTGCCAAGTCTTTCTGGCCAACAACAACATTTAATCACTAGACTGGCCGCCATATAGCCCTGATTTTTCCCTGATCGAGCATCTTTGGAACCAGTTGGATAGACAGGTTCGACGCGCCAGCTATCCCCTGCTACTCGAGAGCAGTTGACCAGAGCTCTGATTGAAGAGTGGGACAACATCCCCATAAGACGGATGAACGCTCTCATGAACTCTATGACCAGAAGAATAAGGGTCG